AGCCCCCGCTCTCCGGGGCCGCGGCCCCTCAGCCCCCGCTCTCCGGGGCCGCGGCGCGGGGTCTGACCGTTGTGTCCCTTTGCTTCTGCTCCAGCCTGAGGGACCAGATGAAGCAGCAGTTCATGGAGTGCAGCGCTGCAGTTCATGCCAGTAAGCTCATCCCTACTCTGACTCCCTCCGACAACCAACCCCCTGTGCTTCCTCTTAATGTGATGTTACAGTAATAAAGAACGTGACGTGGCTAATATAAACGTTTTTTTAAAAATTATTTATCAAAAGCGCTCGCTGCAATAATGAAACGTTTTTCCTGGCTGAGCATCTTACTGCATTTCCGAGACACCTCTTGGAGACGTGTTTGCATGCTTACAGAACTGCCCCGGGATTACGGCCCGCTGCCCTCTCTCCTCTGGGGTTTTCACTTTAGACCCCTCTAACACTCTGACGCGTCATGATGGTTTTTAGGCACCTGGTCACCGGCGCTGAGGTCTTACCAAAAGTCTGCCGAAGTGTTCGGCAGCAACACTGCTTTAATGTGTTTCTTCTTGTTCCCATTGTCTTTCCGTTACCTTTGTCCTCTTCCACTGAACCAGCCAGCTGCACATATAGAGCAGTGCTGCGAGCCAGCTCTGGCATGTCTAAAAAGTGCTAAATGGAAATATTTTAAAGCCTAATTATTCCTCTGACACAGCTGATTGATAGCGTAGTCTCACTAATAGTGGAGGAGATGATAAGGCGTGGAGGTAGGAATAAGAAATACATTGTCAGTATAGCCATCAAACTGCTTATCCTTTATGCTCTGTAGATTGGATTAAAAAGTCTTTGTTGTGCTTTTTTTAGTGATGTTCTTTCTTTGCAGGTCAAGAAAGTTTCCTTGATCACGTCATTGAAGAAAACTTTATCAACAAGTATGTCATTGGATAATTCCAAACTTTTGATGTATTTTAAAATAAAGAGGAGAAGGGTTGAGAATTGAACTTGGAGCTTCTCTTCTAGTTACTCCTTCTGAGTAAATATCTGGATTAATGATCAGTACTTTGCAGGAGTCTGGTGAAAATAAAGGGAATTAAGAGAAAATATGGGGAAGAAATATTTTACTTAGTCTCCTAATGTAGTTCTGTATCAGACGTGCCTTCTAAATTTGCAGTCCTCCTTGCAATTGCTAGAATTCACTAACGTAGTTCCACATACTAAAATACCCCTGGCCTTAATAATTTGTGGTTTACAGGAAAAATTCTTACTTTAGACACGTAGAGAGCAAGTTAAAAATGTGATATTGCTTTTAAATTTTTTGTTATCTTCACACTGTTTTTTTTTTTCTTTTCCTTCAGTGCCGCAGAAGGTTTGGAAAGAGAGATGGAGGAATTAAAAGTCTCTTTCCAGAACAAGACATTAGCCTTGCAAAGGTAGAATCTTCTTCCCATTTATGTGGAAGTTTTCTGTTTGTTTATGTGTGCACAAATACATGCACATATACATAATTCCGATTAAAATAGGATTTCAAAGTGATACTGTGTGTGTTACAAACATGAGAGATTTTAGTACCGTTGAACCAGTAGGAATGCAGATGGAGACACCGTAGAGAACAAAAGAAAAAATTACAGGTTGAAACATGTAAACCCAAAGGTTCCTGCAAAATTGCAGAAGTCTGGCTGTATAAATGAGTAGACATATTTCTTGGCAGTATTTTACAAATGCCTGTGAAAAGTTGGAAGTTGATAGGCATTATATGTCTCCTGTGTTACATGGCTGTTCATTTAAATTCCCACCTTTGCCCCGCTTCCCTTCTGCATACTCTGGGATTAATGGTGTCCAAGTGTGTTTGGCAAGAGAGAAAGGACTTGTCACTCTCACAAATAATCATTGGTACGCCTTTCTTGTCCTGAGAGTTAAACCCTTTTATTTCAGAAGTGTGATATTTAAAAGGTACTGAGTATTTTATATATAAAATTCCAATGTGAGAGTGGACATAAATGGAACCTTGGAAATATCTCTTCTGTTACTTATCTAAATCTACTTCTCTCAGTTTCTTACCAGTTCTTATCAGTTAAATGTTTCTTCCCCACGCTATGCAGGATCCAACTTATGGTTGCCCTGAGAAACAAAGTGAAGCAAAATGATAATGACTCACGGTAAGGTGTTCTTGGGGAAAGGCTGGCTGGAAAGGAATGGACTTTACACAGTTTAATGTGACACGTTTTTACATTACTCCATTGTACCTTTTTTAACAGCAGGCTTCCTTCTAGTTTTGACTGAATGATATATAGTCCATCTTGATATAAGTCCATCATGATATAAGTCCATCTGGCTAGAATCAGCATGATCAGACCTCTTATACTTGGGGTGGATTTACGTTTGGGCTCTGAATTAACCAACCTTTGATTACAGAGATCATACTTTTTGATTCACTAGTGAGAACTGTTCGTAGCTAACAGTTTTTTGTCTTTAATGCATGAGTTACTTGTATTTATAATAGCTGAGTGCATATTACAGACTTGTAACAGCCTTGCCTCTGCTTTGCTGCCTTCATTAATTTTTTTTTTCTTAAGTTCTTTGAAAAAGAACTGAAAGTTTCAAACGGGTTTAAAATTAGCTTTTAATTTCCTGCCCATATTAACGGGTGCACACATATGAAGTGTAATATAAGAGAAATATGTTAGAAATACATCTGAAAACACTGCATCTCCATGATGGCCCTGCCATGCGCCAGAATTCAGAAGCTCCAGTTGTTAGCCATTCTCAGGTGGCTAGGCTTCCTCGATGCCTTCCAAGCTCTACGGTTTGAAATGTTAGACAGACTTAACTGAAACATTAGGGAAACCGAGAGGGAAGTAAGGACGCTATTTGGCCCCTACAACAACACTTAGTGTAATAACTGTAAAAAAGAAAGGGTGCAGGAAAAAAAAGTATGCTTTATTTTGGTGTTAGGGGAAATGGGGATTTTTTGTTTAATCCACACGAACTTGATTTATGCTGTTGACTCATATTAATGGTCTTAAGGTATGCAACTGTATTTCCTTCCTTAGACTGATCACGGAAACTATGAAACACGTAATAAAGCTCAGCAAGGCAGTAGTTGAATGTCAGCAGGTAAGTGGCAGTTGTAGCTTCTGTCGCAGTTGTGCAGGTCTACCAACCTCAACATGGGCAGGAGCTCAATTTGAAAGTAACAGGATTGCACAAGTCATTTGAAGCTAAATTTGTGGCCCAAAGGGTGCAGTTTCTACTGGTGTTAAAATTACTGAAACGATTACTTAAAGTGAGTATGTAAGAACGTCTGCTTCTAGAGCTGCCCTTAACTGCTTTTGTGGATTGAATTAGAATTTTTCAATATTTTTTGGTGCCAAGAGTCTAGGAAATACTTTCTTTTTTTTCTTTCAGCAAGCACGTGAGAAGGAACAGAAATTGATGGACATTAAAAGGAAAAGACTCTGTAAGTGTGTTAGTTATATTGACTTTGTTTTATATTTGAATGTACAGTTCATATTTTAAAGTTCTTCTTGTAGCAATATTAATTTACATCTGAAGTAACTGCAAAACTCTCAACACAGTTATAAAACTTCTGAAAAGAGTAGGAAGCACTGTAAAAGAGCTGGTGTGTTGTCTACTTGAGCATGAGACTGACACGTTAGAATGAGATGCAAGAAGATACTCAAAAAGAATGTGGTAGCGTTTCACTATTTAGTGTAAGCTGCCCAGAAAATTACACATCATTTAGTTTAAATCAGTCCTACAACACCTAAAGATTTTTTTTTTTGTCAGACCACACCTTTATGAAATGTTTGTAGAATAGGGGAGGGGATTTACTTACAAAGAACTCTCGCAACAGTATATATGTTGGTATTCAGTAGGCTTGTTAGAGAGGATTAAATTTAGATGAGAAGTCAATCTTCAGAACTTGATAAGGTAAATATGTTTTTTGAATGCTCCTACTGTCATATGACCAGGTTTGCCAACAGTTTTAACAACTGTTGTTTGTTTCATGCATAGGAAGTGGTGTATATGTTGACAGTAATGAACAAACACAATGAAATATCTGTCTTCATAGGAAAAATGAGCATCCCCAATATTGTCAGAAATAAGGGAAGGAATGCTGTGTCAGCATTCTTTCAATGTATGAACTGTCCCTAAATGGTTTTATTCGGTCTAGTTTTTAGCCCGGTTTCCTATAAAAAAACTAGTAACATTGACTGCTGTTGTCCATATGTCCTTTGTATGTCTTTGGAATTTGGTTTCGATCAAATTTGAAAAAGGGGAAAAAGTCTTAAACACCTCTGACTATAAAAGTTGTGACAACTGAAGACGGGGTGTAGGAGCGATGTTCAAATTACTGCCCATCTCTGATGGAAATGCAGACAACATACAAAGTACTTTCTGTTTTGCTAGCAGCCAGGGAACCCATTGATGTACTTTGATACCAGGTAGCCACAGCACGTGTTGCCTCTTGTGTGAAAGGAGTATCTTGAGGTATATTGGAGGGAAGGGATGGAGCGTGAAGTTAGGGTTATTGCAGTGGAAGTGCCTTAGATGTCTGTGAGAAAAAATGCACGTCTTTAGTTCTACTGCTCACCTAACTACTTCTTAATGCTTCATTTTCCTAATAATGGAACAGCGCTAAAAAAAGCCGGACGACAGAAACTACTGCAAATTCATACCATGATGAAAAAACAAAGGGAGGAAAAGACAAGGATGAAAGTGAGCGGAATGATGGAGAAGATACGTAATAACTTAGAAAAAGAGAGAGAGATGACTATAGTAATTCAGAATGTATTCCAGGTAATGTGTTGTAGCTTTTAGAAGCAAGTTTGCAGTTTTGCGTTATGGTCAAGATAATATAGTGCATGGTAAATGTAACTTCAAACGAAACTGTGTCTTCTAAAAACTTTAAGTAATGGTGGCAATGGAAAAACTGCTGTATGAAAGGAAAACCTCGTGCTTTTAGCCTTTAAACCAATACAATTGTCACAAACTTCTTTGGAATAATGATTTACAGGGTTTAGAGACAGTCTATCAATCTATCTTTATTCCTTTGTTCCCTTAAAGGTACAAAAATAACGCATTTTCTCAGAGAATGTCTGTTGCAGCAGTGGCTGTATTTCCTTACACTGAGAGTCACCCCTACACAACCCAAATCAGTTCCACCATCTCATGGTTAGGAAAAATAAGTAGGTCTTAATCCCATGATATCGGTGAGCCAGGCTACTGTTCCTCAGTCTGCCCCTTCTGACCACAGGCCCTTCTCTGTTTGTGTCACCCACTGCAGCCTTGTGAAAGCCTTGGCCTGCAGCCACGGCTAGTCTCCAAATACTTTCAGTGGGGTAGCCTTGAACCTTTTGGTTGCCCACGTATCAGATGCTGCTGACTAGCCTGTATGCATGCAGCTAGCTGGCAGGTCGTGTGGAGTCGCACAAAGTGAGGAAGAAAACCTCATGATTTGGGATAGGGTGGAAGGGTGCCCCGCAGCATCCTGTGCCCAGAGGGGCTCTACTAAAGGTTACGTACGCTGTGCTGCAGTCTGGTACTCTGTCTCTCACTGTGTGACTTGTCCTGGCTTCCTTTGCCTGGCCCCACAGATCAGTGACTTAACTACAAAGATGGGAGGCACAGTGAAAGGTAAATTGCAGTTGCAGTGCTCCTGAGTTCATCTGCAAACGGCTCGTGAAATCCCAGTTAAGCGTGCAGGAAGTTTATTTAAAAAATTTAGACCAGGGAAAAGAGAGAACATATTGGAGGGCTTCAGGTAGAAGACAGGATATAACCATGCTGTGAATTTGGATGATCAGAAGAATTTCAAGGGCACAAAAAGAGCCACGTGTTTTTGTATTGCGTGGTATGTCTACTAGTTTGCATTGATAACGTCATCACATCTCAAATTGAGAATGAGAAATTAAATAGTTTAGTGGGTTTTAGATTAGATTGCTGGAATTATCTTCTGGTTTTGTATTCCTGAAATCTTCTGAGCTGTAAGTAGAACAAATCTTCTTTGGTTAAATTTAATAATTCCTATTTTCAATCCAGAACAGCAGGGTGAGAATGTTAACTGTGTTATCTTGTGTTTGAGGCAAATTTATTTCACGTGTTTTTTTAAAAAAAAACACCTCTAAATTCCTATGTTTAAAATCGGGATGGTGTGCAAGCACCTCTAGGAAATTTGAAGCACCACTTTTTTTTTTGCCTATGTATTGACAATGGGATCTAAAACGATACTTCCCTTTCTCCTCTTTCCCCCATCCCACCTACTTCAAACACGGCTGTCAAGGGCTTCCAAATTAAAAATTAAAAAACAGACAGCTTTTGAGAGGTTTTACTAGGAATAATCATTTTTAAAGGCTTTTTTTTAAACAATAATCTTTCTTTCTTATAGAGTATCATAATTGGAAGCAGAGTTAACTGGGCAGAAAATCCATCTTTAAAGGCAGTTGTTCTACAGCTTGAAAAAAACGTCTATTTTCTGTGAGTCAGGAGAAACGGCGTTTGATTTTATACAGCGTATGTAATCAACGTACTAAATTTTATAGATTAATATGCATCATGAAAGCACAGTTCAAGAATTTGAAAATTTAACCTTTCTGGAAGTTGTTGTCCTCTCTAGAGACTCGGAATGTGGCCACGCACCTCTTTGAAGTGAAATTTAATTCCTGATACACAACAAACGTTTGAACAGGTAGCATACCTGAGGTACTACCAGAAGAGCCACTTCATAGCTGTTCTGCCCCAAGCGCTCATCTCCCTCTGAAAGGCAGCAATAACGTAAGAAAGAAGAATAATGTATATATTTCAAGTTTTTATGTAAAAGTGGGCTGAAACCAAGGATCTGCTGTTTCTATCCTCTTCCTCTGGGCACCCGCAGGCTGCAGAGCTCCGACAGCATGCGTGACCCTGCTCTGCCCCTGTGGAAAGCCCAAACCGGAAAACTTAGCTAAGTCAGTCCTTGGGTTTTTATTTCCCTTCTTTTTATTAAAGCATTACGTATAATTTTAAACACCAGAAAGTTTATACTCTTAATTGTAACAGTCACTTGTGCCTGTGCTATATGCTGATTAGTTACGCAGAGCATCCAGCAGTAGGCAGACGCAACCTGTAGATGCCGTCCCACCTGCAGGGAAAATGGAAGAGGTGACTTCATGCTATCGGCTGTGCAGCTAAGCAGTATTTTAAATGTACTTTTTCATTGACAATTGCATTTTTACGTTTGAAGAAAATTGAGCTGATCATCACGTGTAACGTGTTAAAATATTGTCACTTTTAATTTGGTGAGCATCAGCTTTTAAAAGGCGGATGTATGTGTCTCGATCGAATAAAAAGAAAGCGCAGGCTTACTTGAAGCTTTGTTTTGCTGCTTTTTTTACTTTCAACGCGTTGCCCCCGTGTTTTGCCGTGTTTGTGTTTTGGCCCGGCCCTACCGCCG